CTGGTTTTATGGGTTTCTACCCCTTTAATTTAAACCCTAAAGAACCAAATCGCCTGATTCTTATGAATGAACTTCCCTTTGAACTAATTCATCGGTTTTATTCAAACAACAGAAAGTAGGGCTTTTGATCGCCTTCTCGACCCCTGGTAACAATTCTCGACGCCTTCAAAACACTAGCAGTTCTATTGAAGTTCATATTTTTATCAATCTTGTGTTGTTAATCTTGAATGCCATTTTTATAGTTAGTATATTTATTTAGAGTTGAGAACTGCAAGAAGCAAATTGCATATTGTTGTAAGGCCAATTTTATGAGTAGTTGTTGTTCTATTTTGATTTTCAATTTGGAATTGCTTTAGGATTGCTTTTGAGTGATCAATGCACTAATTTATTATTTGGGTATGCAGATACATGGCATGGTTGCAGTTTCTAGATACTCAAATGTCACACCTATTGTTCTAGATTGGACAAATCATCACTTTGGGCTGATCCAAGGTGAGTTAGCAGAAGATTACATGAAACCACCAATTAAAAACGTCAACCTTTATAATTTTAATAACTCAAATGGCTTAAGAGGGCTATGGTATCTCCACAACTTCGCACACAACAGCCAATGATGCAAAATGACATATATGGCCACACAATTTTACCTTGTTGCATCATTCTCCACAGCTAGGTGAAAGTGGCTTTTTCATCACTTGTTGAGCATGCATAATCTGAATATTATGAAATATTGTTTTTTCTTATTATACAAGTATAATTATGGAATAGTGTAAGAACCTCGCATATATTGATTAAAAAGTGGCAATTTATTTAGGTAACTTTGGTTATGCATGAGTGAAATATGGTTTGCAAACATATTCTTATTAATACTATTGCCTCATGTTTTGTTAGTATTTCATCTTCCTGATCAGTGGAGTAGGTGATTGATTGTCTTTGTTTTAACACTATGGTTTTTTTTTTTAACTTTTGTGGCTTTTTGGAAGGAGTAGTGATTTTGGAAGCATCAACTCATTGTCCATGTACAAAAAGGCTCTGGCTAGGGAGTACATACTCCATTAAAGAGAACACTTTTGATAAAGACGTTTTACTGTTGGTGCAATTCTTAATATCTATTTGATGATACCAACAAATCCTTTTTGTTACTGAAACTTTATTTAGAAAAGAAAAAAGAACAGTGAAAACTTCGATTTCAGTTTAAAATTGTATATCTCGATCATCCAAATACTCGGGTGCTACAATATCTTTCAATACTTCTTCCATGTCCACTTAATNGAAAACTTCGATTTCAGTTTAAAATTGTATATCTCGATCATCCAAATACTCGGGTGCTACAATATCTTTCAATACTTCTTCCATGTCCACTTAATTGTAATACTCGGGTGCTACAATATCCAGGTACATTATTAATCAAAGGGGAAAACTTCGTATTCAATTATGATGTTTCCCCTTCCGCCATTCCTTTCCACCTCCTCCTTCAAGACCCATGCATCTTCAATTTTCTTTGCCTTTCACTTCTTTCTAATTGAAGACCGCACCAGGTGAATATTGGTTACAACACTCTCCAGGTTAGAATCAATTGATTGTATTTCACATTTTGGCTAATAGATTTGGTTCAAATTTTGATTTTTATGAGTCTTTTCAGATGTCAAGAAACAGATTGCAGACGTTGTCATCGATAATCAGGTAGCAGATCCCAGTTTAAGACCACATACCACAGTTTAAGACCATTGACCACAACCATCGATTATCCAGGTACATT